TCTGCATCTATTGAGAGGATCATATGATTCTTGTTCTTTCTTTTGTTAATGTATTGTATCATATTGATTGATTTGCGGATGTTGAACCAACCTTGCAGCCCAGGGATAAATCCCACTTGGTCGTGGTGAATAATCCTTTTAATGTACTATTGGATCCTATTGGCTAGTATTTTGGTGAGAATTTTTGCATCCATGTTCATCAGAGATATTGGTCTGTAATTCTCCTTTATTTTTTATTTTATTTTTTTATTTTTTTATTTTTAAAGATTTTATTTATTTTTTTTGACGAGAGACATAGCGAGAGCAGGAACACAAGCAGGGGGAGTGGGAGAGGGAGAAGCAGGCTTCCCGCAGAGCAGGGAGCCCGATGTGGGACTCGATCCCAGGACCTTGGGATCATGACCTGAGCCGAAGGCAGACACTTAACGACTGAGCCACCCAGGCGCCCTGTAATTCTCCTTTTTGATGGGGTCTTTGTCTGGTTTTGGGATCAAGGTAATGCTGGCCTCATAAAATGAGTTTGGAAGTTTTCCTTCCGTTTCTATTTTTTGGAACAGTTTCAGAAGAATAGGTATTAATTCTTCTTGAAATGTTTGGTAGAATTCCCCTGGGAAGCCATCTGGCCCTGGGCTTTTGTTTTTTGGGAGATTTTTGATGACTGCTTCAATTTCCTTAGTGCTTATAGGTCTGTTCAGGTTTTCTATTTCATCCTGGTTCAGTTTTGGTAGTTGATACATCTCTAGGAATGCATCATTTCTTCCAGGTTATCTAATTTGCTGCCATAGAGTTGCTCATAATATGTTCTTATAATTGTTTGTATTTCTTTGGTGTTGGGTGTGATCTCTCCTCTTTCATTCATGATTTTGTTGATTTGGGTCATTTCTCTTCTCTTTTTGATAAGTCTGGCCAGGGGTTTATCAATCTTGTTAATTCTTTCAAAGAACCAGCTCCTAGTTTCATGATCTGTTCTACTGTTCTTTTAGTTTCTATTTCATTGATTTCTGCTCTGATCTTTATTATTTCTCTTCTCCTGCTGGGTTTAGGCTTTATTTGCTGTTCTTTCTCCAGCTCCTTTAGGTGTAGGGTTAGGTTGTGTACTTGAGACCTTTCTTGTTTCTTGAGAAAGGCTTCAGGTTATACACTTTTATTAGGAATTCCATGGAAAACATGATAAGTTCTTCTCAATGCCTCATAGAAGGGACAGGCTGTCAATTAAGTCCCAGTAAATGGTAGTATCTGTTGGGTTTCTCCACTGTGAAGTCACTATTTTGTCCTTTGTGATTACTAAATCTCCTGCGAGGAGATACTATGAGATTATGCAAATATGATTCTCGACTGACTCAAATATTACTATTATGGTTGCCAAATGGTTATATTCTAATTCTGCCATCCCTTCTACAATTTAGTTGGCTTTCAACTATAAAGAAGAACTTTATTATATGGTTTATTTATTTCTATCAGCATGGACTCATGAATTCTTACTTAATTCAATTATTAGAATTCTTTACTATCCTTAGTTTTTTTGAGACTCAAAGTGTCCCAGATGTTTGCCAGGTACTTCATGTAAATTATTTCACTGAAATCTTAAAACAACTCTATGTCGTGGGGATTATGATTATCGCTATTATTCAAAGTAGCTGAAGCTCTAGGAGATTGATTTTTGCAACATTTAACTGACAGAATCTCCACGCTTTCTGTGTCAAATGCCTGATTATATATATATAATATATATATATATATATATTATATATATTCCCCCTTGTTCCCCCTGATGTCTCTGCTATGTAGGAGTTATCCTCTCCTATTTTAAGAGAAAACAGGCTCAGAGAGGTTATTAAGTAACCTGTCACAGAAGCTGTGATGAGAATTCGAAGGCCTATTTGTAATATCCTGTTGGTTTTCGGCAGACCACGTTGCCTCTTTCTGCTGTTTTTCCTTCTGCAGGAGGGATATTTAAGCAGCAAGTCTTTTTGCCATTTATTCAAACCTATTCAGGACAGAGGAGGTAAAAGGAGAAACTGGCTTTCTTTTTTCTTTCCCTTCTCTTCCTCTTTTCCTTCCTCCCTCCCTCTCTCCTTTCTTTCCTTCTTTCCTCCCTCCCTCCTTTCTCTTTCTTTTTCTTTCTTTCTTTCCCCTCTTTTTTCTTTTTTTTTTCTCTTTCCCTCCTTCCCTTCCTTCTTTCCTTCCCTTCCTTCCTTTCTCTCTTTCTTTCTTAATAACCTGTATTTGTAACAGTTTTTGCCAGCTAAAAGCTACCCTGATTCTAACCAGCACCAAAGCTGGGAAGTTGTGGAGGTTTATATCTTGCCAGAATCCTTGGTGTTCTTGGAGTAGCTTTATGGCAATTAAATGACTGAAAATGTAACCTCTTAAAGGGAATGCATTCATTCTAGCATTGAAAGGAAAACTTTGGTGAGATCTGTCATTATAGAGTCACCCTCTAATTTATCATATATGGATTTTCCCATTACTCTGCTTGTGTTAACCATGGTAGAGGTGCCCATTAGAAACGCAGAGTCTGGAGCCTCCTCCTAGACTCCTCAAATCAGAATCCCTTGGAGTTGACAAACTTCCCAGAGGTCCCTGATGCTCACTGAAGTGGGAATGGATGTGTGAAGGCCTCTGACTGAGCTTGGTTCCTGTGGGCTCACAACAATGCTGGCTTCAGACCAGCAATGTCAGCCTCAGGGCCACCTGACCTTTGCCCCACCTCTTGCCCTCAGCAGTCACCACAGGAAGTGGGATTTGCCAGTCACACTGCCCTCGGGGAGCGAGCCTTGGGCAGGCTCCTGTCTCCCTCCTGCAGGAAGTGAGCAGCAGAAGGAATGCATCATCCCCCAAGTATTCTGATGTATAGTATCTGTACATAGTTCCTGGCAGCCCTGAGCCAACTTCTGAGAAACGTCTTTGAGGGGGGTGGGGAACCAACCCCTTTACTAGGCTCTGGTTAAAACCAGTGCAAATAAACAAAAAACAGCTGTTGATTCACAAAGTACTGCCTGCAGTTAGGAAATGTTATTTTATCCCCAAACCAAGATCACTGTGAAGTTACGGACTTAACTCCAAATGGGGTATGCATAGCTTCTCTCTAACCCTATGCCTGCCACCCCCACTCAGGCTGAAACTGGTCTAGGCTGCAGACAGAGTCAAGTACAGATGTCGCCGATCCTGTCAGCCCCAGGAGACCAAGCGGTGGAGCGCTGGGGAAGGTTTTACAATGGGCTTTTTAGGGGACGGGCTGATTTGTAGCCTTTGGTGATTTCCATGGTGTGAGGGCTCCCACCACGGCCGATTTCCAGCTACCGGCAGTTTAACAACCAACTCACAGGATTCCCGTGTATCTAACAATTGCTTTTCTGAGCTGGGATGAGCCGGCTCCATCAAGTGACAATCCTGAGCGTAAGATCTCATCAGCCTGAGTGGGTGCTTGGGCAGGGAGGGGCACGACAAGGATGACAGAGAGGATGGATGAGGCAGGGCTGGATGGTCAGCCCAGACCTCTGAGGAGAGGAAACCCCTGTCCCCACAGCTGCTCCCTAGCATCTGAGAACAGCAACACGGCAGAGGGCTCGAGATTCTTCACAGACCTCACGGTGCACTCAGGTTTGTCTTGAATAGAAAACCACTGCAAGTAACACTGATGGAAAGAAAATCCAGTGGGCAGAGGAGGTAGAAAATAGCAGTTTCTTTTGGGCTCTCTCTGCAACATCAGTGCTTCATGTGTGTGTTTTATGAGCAATGGGTAATATGAACAATAAGAAGAGCCTAAGTTTGCCTATGGAATTAGTGGTCAGCCCAGCTCATGCCAGGTTCTAAACCCATCCTTCCTAACCCCAGCTAGAATGGGAGATGGGCAAGACATATACATACCACCCTCTCTCCTGGTGTGAAGAAATCTCACGACAGGTTTCCTAGTCCAAGAGCTCCAGAATGAGTACAAGCCCAAAGGCTACAAACTCCATATCACAACATGACATAGGGCCATTCATTTAGCTGACAGAACCTCTGGTTTTCCCCATTGCTGTCGGGACCCATCATGGTTCTAAGGAGGGCTCTTCTGGCTGCCAGGAGCAGAAACTACTCAAACTACTCTAAACACCATGATGCATTAATTGTAAGGATGGCAGGATGGTTTCGGATTCTATAACAGGGCATAATGTCCACTGAGGCACTCCAGGAATCTAAAAAGCTATTCAAGGTTGAGGCAGCCTTTCTCTCTTTCTTGGTTCCATTTGGCCTTTTCTCTTTACACTTATCTTCTCCCTCTAAACACAGGCCTCCTTGTGTCTTTAAATGTGCACCCAGCACAACGTGGCCACAGGTCACAGCTCAACATCAGGATGTCTCATCTTGTACACTCATCAATAAGGGCAACTTCCCTTGGAAGTCAAATTCACAGGAGCAAATATCTGATTGGCCTACATCATGGGATTAAGCCACGCTACCCGAGTCACAGGACACTGCATTATGACAATCTTGGACTTAGGTATCTACCCATGTGTGGTTCTTATGGCCATGGCTGAAGAAGCAAGTGGGGAGAAACACATGACCCATTAAACACATGTCCTTCACAGGGGTGACGGGCAGAACCCCAGGACCAGAAGATGCCATCCAAGGACGGGTAGGCCAAATGCAGTAATGGCTATGAAACCATGTAACAAACATCTAGATGATTTCTGAGGACAGTGAATTTTATAAAGTTCATTAGTAAGTGTCATTTCATTTAATGGAAACAGCCTTAGAGGGTATGCATTTTTAGACCCATTTTAAAGATGAGGAAACTGTTACTCAGAGAGGATAAGGATTACCTCAAGGTCCCACAGCTGGGAAACACCAGAACCAGACTTAATGTCAGGTCTTCTGACTCCAAGTCCAGTGACCTTTCTTCTTGGCAAAGGATCCAACAATCAAGGGGGAGAGAGGACTGCACAGAAATCACTCTGAAGTTTTATCTAGAGCTCAAGACTTCAGCTGTTAGTGAACGAATGAAACCCAAACTGTTGTGAGCACAATGAGAATTTATTGGCTTATGTAACAGAAAAGCTCAGGTGCATCTGGACCCATGACATGGAGTGTTGCTCTTCTGTGTCGTTCTTGGCAGCATATTTGGGCTTCCCAGTTGGGAGTCAGGCTCCCCCTGTAAGGAGACAAGATGGTTGCCAGCAGTCTTCATGGCTTCAGATGTAGAAAGAGAGTCCCTTATCACAGCAGTCTAAGAAATCCAGCAATTGGTTCTTCTTGGACTTAGTAAGGTCCTGGCTCATTTCTCAATGAACCAATCATATGGGCAGGGTGGATTTGATGATGTTCCAGGCCCAGCCAGGGTCACAGTTTCACCACTGGATGCAGGAAAGATGCCAAGTCCCCCAAACCCATGGGACCTGAAAGTAGGGGAGGGGTGGCTCCCCAGACAAAAAATGAGGTGCTGTTATCAGAATAAGGAGTAACAGTTGCCCAACAGGCAAAATCAACAGCTATTTCTCTTGGGGTGGGAAAAGTAAAGAGCATCTGAGCCCAAGTTAACCTCAGGGGCACAAGGAAACAGTACCCTAGCACCTGGATGTGGACATAGTAGGTGATGAAGAGTTGGTGCCTCTGAGGCATGAAATGCATAAAGGAACATAAGAGAAAAGATGCTGGGGCCATACTGGGAAACACCCTTAATGCCGTGATGCCTTTTTTTTTTTTTTTTTTTCAGGCCACGAGAGCTTCTGAAGGTTTTTTGATCAGGGGTGTGCCATGGTCAAAATCTGCAGGAGGAAAACAACCCTGAAAATTTTCAAGTGTTATCCAAAAGTGAAAACCTTATCTTTTGGGGGCCAGGAGTGGCCTCCTTGCCTGTGAAGGTTTTTCCTGTAAGATTTGTAATCACTTTATCTGGAAGTCCCTGAGACAAGAAAACTGTGACCACGTCATGGAGAAAGAGCAGCAGCAAGGTATCTGAGTCTGATTAGATACACCCCCCCCCCCCCTTCAGGGCCTCCAACTATGTAGTCCCACCCCAAACGAAGTTGAAGGTCTGAACTCAGTGACACTGGAGTTTCTCAGACTCACATTCAGGGGATGGTTGAACAGGTCTGGGTGCGGCCCCCAGGGTGTGTGAACTGAGGAGTACTTTATGCCATCCAATTCCATATCATGATTAAGCATGATTTATTGCCATTTTTTAAACTGCAACTGACTTGGGGGTCCTTCATGAGAATCCCAGGATAAAATGTCTCAACACTAATGCACCACTGGGATGGGCCAAATCATCAAATAACGACTTGAATCAGCTGGGGTTGGAAAAGTATTGTCAGAGGACTCCAAATGACACAATTCCTCCCTGTTCTCATGAGGTCCAGTCATGGCTACTTCTGGTCCAGAAGAGAGAAAAAATGCTGGAATTTTAAAAAGAAACTACACTTGCTGAGTTCAGGCATCAAGGTGAACTCATTCCAGGATTGGTCCAATTAGGGCAGTGTTTGCCCATTTCATATTGCAATTGGTATTTCAGATCTTCTGCTTGTTCTCTGAAGTGACTTTCCTAAGAGGTACACTACTAAAATCTCAATATACATACTTAACATAAAGTATGAGGGCCCTTAAATAAAGACAAGTGGCAGACAGAATTCATATTAAGAAGTCATTTGAGGGTCAGGGGAATGGTACTTACTATGCCTCCCTGATATGAAGAATATCTGTGTGACCCTGCTGTGACCTGTATACCTTGCCCCAGGACAAAGTCCCAGCACTGTGGATTTAACTAGGCCCCGTGCCCATTCCTTAACCAACCAATCACTGTGGCTGGGTGGATCTGATGATCTCACAGGCCAGAACAGCACCACTGGTTCACCACTGGATCAAGGGTTGATGCCTGGCCACCCAAACCCATGGAACCTAAACCCACAGGCCCCAAATGAAAACTGAGGTGCTGTTGCCAGAAGGGGTACTGGACGCCAAAGAGCAAAAACAACAAATACTCCTTTGGGGCGAGGGAAGTAAAGGGCATTCAAGGGCTGGAGCTTCCACCTTCTCAACTGGAGACAGTGTGGGAGTTGAGGGTAAGCTGTGGTATCAGTCTGCTGGGGTTCGGTGTCTGCTCTGTTACTTATTAGCTTAGTGACTCCGAACAAGTTACTCAGTCTAATACTTGGCTTCCTCATCTACAGAAGAGGGTAACAACAGGACCTATTTCACAGGGTTGATGTGAGGATTAATAAGATGATGCATGTGAAAGCAGTTAGTATAATGGAACTGCTCCACAAATGAGACTTACTTTGTCAGTCATCTTGACACGCAACAGCTCTACGCCCCTCACTGCAGGAGACCTGGGTGAGTCCCATTCTGCCTTAGAGGGAGTCCCACAAGTACTCACTGTTGTCTGCCTTGACTTCTCTTGCTGTCTCCTCTAGCTCTGATTTTTTTCAAATCTCACTAAGTTCAAGAGGGGATTAAAATGCCAACATTCTCTATTTTTAAGCATTCGCAGATCACGCTGGAAACACTGGCTCTCCCATAAAAAGACACATGCTCATGGGATTTCCCTGGCAATCCCATAAGAGCCTGAAGGTCTGTCGTCGACAGCTGGATCAGGGTGGGGAGAGGGACTGTTTTCAAATTGTTAAATTTTAAAAAATGTGCGCATATTTCCAGCCAACAAAACATGGCTGGGTCTTCCGCAGGGGCTGCCTCCTTGCAGTGTTCTTAAGGATGCTGGGACCAGCCAAAGATTGCAGCTGGAGTCCATGGGGCTGCCCAGACAACCGGGAGTGTCTGCAGAGAGCTCCAGAAATGGGGAAACTATTCACCCAAAATGAGTGAGCACGGGGCTCCTAGGAGAAAAGAAAAGTTTTTAATCAAAACATATTCTGCTCTTATTCTGGCCAGTAGGGAACTAAAGCTAAGTGTTTGCGGGATACTGCTTGCCAGAGCCCTTTTTGAAGGGCTCACTGCTGAAAAGGACATAATGAGGTTGTTGATGTCAGTTTTGAAGATGTTTAGGTGGGGGATGGAAGACCAAGTCAAAAGCAGAAGGAACAACTTCCTCGCGATTAAAAAATGCTTACAAATTTATATAAGATCATGTGTGTACACCTATAAAGAAATTTTTTAAAAATTAAGAGCATATGGGCTCTAGAAGCAGACAGACCTATCCTAAAATTTAAGTTTCACCACTTCCTAGCTCCCCGATCTTGTTTCCTCATCTTTAAAATGGGGGTAATTATAGTACTTCATTCATGAGTTTTGAGGATTTGGTGAGTTAATGCATTTATAATAGTGTCTCCTGCCTAGTAAGACTGTAATCCATGTTAGCCGATATTGTTGGTCATCAGGGGAAAACAGAAGCCTAGAGGTCAACGTGGGGAGTAGGTAAGGGTGACCAGCGAAGCGTACAGTTTTCCAGGAAGCTCCTGTCTCCTCGTGTCCAATCACATCCAACTCACCTCCATCTCCCTCTCCCTTTCATGCCTCGGTCCTTGCTGTCCTAGAACCTGCAACACTTCTCCAATGGTCTAGGTGCCAAACTCCTCTCCACCTTTTGAGATCCCTCTCCAATGTCACTTCTGTCAAGACTGCCTCCCAAACAGAAAGGCCCTTCTTTCTCGGAGCCCGAGACTACCTGCTGCACAACATGTAGACATATCACACGGCACATGTGGCTTCTCATACACTTGCCTGTCATGGAGGTCAACTGTGAGTTCCCTAGGGATGGACATCATGTCTTATAAGTCCCGGTCATAGGAGCTCCTGGTACATAGAGATGGTCAAGAAGTGTTTGCTGGATGGAAGCACAAAAATGGAGGGTGATTTCTCTGAAAAAATGAGGCTAGCTATTCTCCACTCTAAGGAAAAACAGAAAGGAAATGGACATAAGCTGCATCATGGGAAACTTCGGTTAGACACAAAGAATTCCCTTAGTGAGAGTGTTAGATGCCAGACCAAATTCCCACAGGACAGTGTGGAATTTCCTGGAAGGGTCTTCAAAAAAGAGTACTTTTTATTTTGGGGGTGATTCTGATGTGGCTTTGCTTGAAGGCAGGCCCTGAGCCTGGTATGAAGTTCATAAAACTACCCATAAGCAATTCAGATGACAGTGAAGGGTCTTTGGTTCTCGGTCAGCTGGTCAACCAGATGGCTTCTTGTACTGAGCACTAGGAGTGGGATGGGAAAGAATGTGGCTGTGTGTGCCTGGATGGAGGGTGGGAAGTCCCCCTCCAATGAGCCGAAATCCCAGGACGTGAACGAACGGAGGAGTTTGCCAGAGGTCACAAAGTCACCTTGTGTTCAAGAACCCAAGACTAAGGACACCCAATTTCTTTTTTCAACAAGAACTGTTGAATCCAACAGGAAGGAGGAACTACAGGGCAAAGCAGCGCTCTTCCGCTTTCAGTCACTCGTCAGCCCACCCAGCGGCTACTGGACACATGCTGGGCCAGGCCGTGGGCTGGGGGCTAGGCAGACATGGGTGAGCAAAACATGGTCTCTGTCCTTATGGAGCTGTCAATTAAAAAGAAGATGACACCAAACATTTTATGATAGAAAAATGAATTGACAGATAGAAAGACATATGAAGGGGCAAAATGGCGTGAGAGGAGAAAAGGTAGGAAAAGAGGGGTGACCCTTTACTGTCATTACTTCATTGCATTCAACACAGGCGAGGTAAGCTGCTTCACCGAGAAGCGTTCAGAAAAGGCAGGAAAAGTTCATTTAAAAAACATCTTTCTGATAACTTATCAGAAAAACTGCAAAGAGGACATAGAACCATAGTGTCAGAACAAAAAATTTTAATTTAATGGTGGGCTCAAGACTTGGAGGGTAAGATGTGATTTTGGTACCTAAAGCCCCAAATGAATTCAAGTCTTGATTAATTTGCTGGTTGGCCTTGAGAAGGCTTATTAGCTACTTGGGTTTTAGCAAACAGAGGCTGGGGCCCGCCTCATGGGGTGAATTACAGGAGATGAGATGCACAGAGTGACCGGTGTTGCTGAGTGCAGTGCGCCGGGGTTTCTGATCATCTCAAATTAAAACCTTCCTGCTTTGGTCCCCACTCTCCGATGATGCCTGGGTGTGCAGGGTGCCACTGTGAAGGATGTGGCCCTGGTTGGAATGCCCCTCCCTGCAGACGATTATTTGCACTCTCCCATGCAGGAGCCTCATGCACCTACCACCAAGCACTTACTGCATTGGTTAGAGGCTCTCTTGGCTGCCATGCTGGCGGAACTCTGACAATTCTGCCTAACCCAGCCTAGTTAATTAGTTGCAGGTTAGTTTAGGTTATTAAAAGCAGGGCAAGCCAGTGACATTGACACATTTGGGTAGGGGAGATGTGTGGTATCTGAGCAGAGACTGGAAGAACTAAGAAGGAATTAAAGCCCTGATTTAATTCCCAAGACAGCAAACATGTTTGGGGTCTAAGAAAATCCTTCATTTACCTAATTTCAAGTGTCAATCCAGCCCATTTCTAAACACGGTGCTCTTTTAACCAATCACGCAGCCAGAGCTAACAAGTGAAGAACACCAAACCAACCACAAGGCATGATGCAATTTGAGCTCTGCTGAGTGGCTACTAAAATCAAAATGAAAATGAAATCTCTTCTGTTAAAAAGACACAAAAGGTGAAGTGATTGCCAAGTCTATCGGAAAGGCCAGGGACAAAGATAACACACAAATACATACCATAGATCTCGTGCTCCCACGATGGACAGCGGATACAGCTGTGTACCACTCAGAAGGTCTCCCCTAGGTGCCGGGTGACCTCGTGCAGGTAGGAGCCTTCAGATGTTTGGAAAATTTCCCAGGGCAGCATAATCTCGGTGATGGCACAAGAGCTGCAAGCCGGTGCCTTTTTAAGTGACAAATGAGCATAGGGTGAGTGGCTCATGTGTGACCCACACTCAAGGGGGCACCCCCTCAAAACCAGGCACCAAGGGAGCCCCACTCTCCCCTCATCTGCCAGAGCCTCCCCCAGCTCTCTCCTTCTGAGCCCTCTGTGCTCACTACAGAAGCTGGGAGCCCCGGGCTGCAGCTCTGAATGCGTCTGGAAGGGACATGATGAGTGAGAAGATGCGGTAATAGGAGCTGGCCTGGGACATGTTACAAGTTCTAAACAAATGAGGTACAACCCTGTGGGACACACCCAGCTGTGTGGTGGGACTGTCTGTGTTGTGGCTCTTGGACTGTCCCACGTGGTGTTCGTGAACTTCCACAAAAGAGTGGATTTGAACGTCGAATTCAGGAAGAATGAACACAGTTATGTCTTCCAGGAGATCAAGTCAGAAACATTAAGTAGAATATGGCTTCGGGGGGCTTGGTTGACATGCTTCATGGCTCCTCAAGTTCACCAGCATTAGAGCTTTCCTAAAGGAAGGTCAGGCGTCAGCAGGGCGGTTGTTAGTGTGCCCCAGGGGCCTGGGAGCCTGGCTTTATACTCTTATTGGAAGAAATATGAAAATGGGCATCCTGTCCAAACTTTATCAGAAACTCAAGAAACAAACGTGCCACCAAATGGAAAAGTCATTTAATTCAAAAATCATACTTCCACTCGTTTTGTAAGGATTGTCACATAAACCAAGCAAATGAAACAAAGCCAAGTTTCAGAGGCCACTCAACAGAAACTGGATTTTCCTTATAGATACGCTTAGTGACGCAAAAGCACATTTTAAAAAACAGCCTCATCATGGCAAGACTATTTTACTAAGAATGGGGAAAAAAGTTCTATTCTAGTCACAAATTACTTTTTAATTACAGAGTTGGATTCTACACACCAGTCAATATAAGTTTAAAACAGTGCATAATTTATGGTTTAAAAAAATTAAAGTGCCATTTTTAAGTACTTTATTGATAATATATCACATAGCACTTTACAGTATACTCAAAGGTAGCCTAAATTAGGAGATAAACATGCAAATATTTTCTTCTCCAAAATATGGACAAAATGTCTTTTAGAGTGCTTGTGACCACCAGCCTAGTATTAGCTACTAAAGGTTTATGAGTTTGATCTGTTTTCCAACACGACTTTTAATATGTTAATAAGGAATACAGCTGTAGTAACCATTTGATAAATACAAAGTTTTAAAATGGCACTTAATTTACAACTTTGATCATTTTGCCAATCAACAGCCTCTCGTTTCTCTTATTCTCAAATTCTGAATCTTAAAGGCTGCAAAGGCTCAGCAACTGCCAGCTTCTGTGGGTCTCTACATGAGCACCTGTGTCTTTACAGATGCAGATGTGTGCTTTACATACACATGCACAAACACACACTAACACACAGACACTTCAGAATCTTCAGATGAACCTCTTTCCACAGGTACCAGGGTGATCCTGGCACCTGGACACCCAAGGTAGTTGCTTGTAGGTGTCTGTTGGGACAGCTTTGTAGAAATGGTGCGTGTAGAATGTCTTGACCTCTCCAGGACCACTCCAGGGAAACTGGACATTTTGATTATCAATACTCTGGTTCTGATTAAACTCAAAAGAATTTTCATGTAATATTAACTGCTATTCTTATATGGGTCTAGGACTGTGCCAAGCCTTTGCTTGCTATAGCATTCCAAATCTTGAAAGACATTTCCACCTTGTAGAGTCCTGTAAAAGCTTTTGTAAAAATATCAGTTGTGAACTTTCTCTGTGGCCGATTTTTCCCTGTTAAGAACTGTATTTATCCCTCTTAGGAAAAACATCCCAAGTTCTTCAAGGTGGTTCACATTTCTCTTTCTCTCTGCACCTCGCGCTACTTGACATCCAAACCTTTTCACCCCAGAATACAACGCTTCCATCGGAAGACCACATTCTGGTGGCTCTGAATGACATCTGGGTTCTCTGTATGGTCTCTCCCTCTGCTTTGGGAAGTTCTTTAGTTAGACAAGTACTGTAGGCGGCGCAAGGAAAAAAGCTAATTATTACTTGTTGGAGTCTTGTCTCAGGCACGCTGCAGGATTGTGCAAGGTTCACTGCTCTGCTGTTGTCATTTTGATGCTACAATTACAGAGAAGTGGTTCAGCACCCAGCCGATCAGCGAGGCTGCCAAACACATCTGAACACGAGATAAATTTTTTAAACACCAGCTAAGGGTGTGTGAGAGGACACCCAGTTGACTTAAAAGACATGTGGGGCAGGGTTGTCTAGGTAATTGATTACTGTCAGGTTTGCCAGAGATGACAGATAACTGGAGATAGAACACCTAGGACATTCCTTTTCAAGTCAGGTAGCTATTTGATTTCTTCAAGGCTGGCTACCTACTGTGGTAATCTGGTGGCTCATAAAACATTCTGTACTAGGGCAACTGTGAGTGCCACGGTGGCCACTGTTGTACCTGGGACTCCTGTGTCTATAAAACTATTGGTCCAGACTTGCTTTTGGAAGCAGAAGCCAGAGGATGAAAAGTGCCAATAAAGAGTCATGAATAGGGGATCAAAGTACCTTTAGCTCCCCACCCTTCAACCATGGATGCTTCTGTAGTCTCTGTAGTCAAGACAGAACTTCTGGGGTGACTGGGCTTGCTGTTGTCAGGAGACACTGTTCGTAGAAAGACTTCCCCGTGAGCTGCAGGCACGGCACACACAATCGTGGAGTCCTGGGAATGCCTGAAATGGTCTTGTCACTAGCATGGCTCTGTCCTGCTAATGTCAATCTGCCAATGCTTGATTGCTTAGCTTCTTTCTCTTTGCATCTCTGTCCAAAAAGCACTCAGCAAAAGGGGATGAACTAGAATTACGTTGAAAAAGACAGTTTGGTCTGACAGAGGTAAACACATATTGGCCGTAGAAATATTAAAACACTAAGCGAGAAACTGGCTCCAGTTATAGGATACTAAGGAAGGCTGTGCTACACAGGGTCCATCCCTATACGTCAATTTTTGAAAATGGAAGAGAATATCATCAGTCCTGAGCAAGGGATTTGAAACTAGTTACCTTTCACAGCATGGAATTCTGCAGCTGTGGAATTCTTCGAGTACCTGAAGGAAGAAGGAGATGGATCATAATGCCCAAGTAAAGATTCAGGTTCTGTGTGCATGATCACAGGGCCTTAGAAAAGAAACACAAGGTTCCTGGGAAAGCTCAGGGATCTTGGTCCATAGTCCTCCATTCTGATACCTTGTTCACTCTCCTCATCTGCCCTAAAGTTCCCTATTCAAGCAGAATTAGGGGTGGGGGGCATAGATGGTAGAGAGGGTAAAACCGACTTTTAGTCGTCAAATTCCTTTCCTATTTGTTGGCTCATATTCTTAATGGTATCTCCAGTTCTGCAGCAAATGAGGAGGAGGTGAGCCTGGCTGGGGAAAGGAAGCAGGGCAGCCATCTGTCACAGGCCCAGCATGACTGGGAAGGGGTCTACCTACAAATTCACACTGGCGGCACTTCCATTTCCTTCTGGCTTCAAATCAGGGCCAACTGAAGAGGGAGGGACAGGCTTCCAAGTGGTCAAGCTGGGGCCAAGTGTCAACAGCTATGCTCTAGGGAGGAGCTCCCCAAATCAGGGCCTGGGCTTTCTGCTCCTCCACGTTAGCTCTAGTTAAGGGTCCAGTGAGGCAGGTGACAATTTAAAACATCAAATGTGTTAAAAAAACAACAAAAACCCATTATGTGGAGTTCTTGCCATTTGGAAAGCACAGTGGCACAGAGTATGCTTGTCCCCTCAAGCTCCACTGAACAGGTTCCTGAGCTGTTCCAAGTCTACAGGGAGTAAGTGTAGCCAGTTGGTGTGTTCTCCTTCTTCTTGGGTTTTCAGTGAATAGCTTTCCTGAGTCCTATCTTGGTCTTATCCAGTCTTAGTTCTTGTTCCCTGAATTGGTAGTGGTAGTGTGTCGCTTGCTGTTGGTTGAGCTCTTCCATAATAGCTGTGTAATCCTTGAGCCGATGAACTGAATCACAATGACAAACTCCTTTAAATTTAAAATCATCTATAAAGCTGTAACAACAGCACAGCCTACGTCCTACGTCCCTCTTTGGAGTTTTTATTTTGGGGTTATAGGAAATTTGAGATGAACAAGAAGGGAAATATTTAGGGAAAGGGAAAACAGCAGCATATTGAGGACCCAAGATCCTAAGAAGCCAGTTTTTCCTACAACTTAGACACACACACAACATTTACAAAATAGCTCGGCCTCATGTGTACAACCTCAGAAGATGTGCAGAGGAGTGAGATATAAGGAACATGCGACGACCCCGTTGCCTTCTGTCCTGACATATTGGGGTACCAAGAAATACACCTGAGAAGAAAAATGGAAAAAAAAAAAAATCTAACTCCTGGCCCCACCTATGTGAATCCTGAGCTTCATCTTACTACCAAGCAAGCATTCTTTTAAAAATTCATTGCCTGAAAATGTTTTCTCTCTCCAAATTCAAAGCCCAAGAAAAGCTCAAAAACACATGTGGATAAAGACGACCGAATACCTTCAGTGTGTCATGCCCACCAACGAGAGCCAGCAGAGAGTGGGTAGAAACGTGTCCTCCTTCCTCGAGGCCAGAGAGGGGATGACCTTGACTCTCTTCAACTTTGCCTCCTCTCTCTCCCTCTTACACACACCTATTCAACAATCAAAGCTTAAATGTGTGGAGCCACTAGCTTAAAGATTATCAAATATAAAACTTTGCCATATAATATTTCAAATCACTCTATTTACAAGTTTATCTTTTCAAAAAAAAAAAGTAAAAGATACAGTAATTCAACACAATTCAAGTTTTTCTTTTCTTCTTTCAACTTCCCTAAAGAGGAATTCCAGAAGCGGGAAACACTCTGGGGTGATGCTGCCAACCCGAGGGGGCTCCTGGGGAGCTTGACAGTCCATCATCAGTTTGGAGTCTGTCTGCCCAGAGTCACTCTTGCAAGGACATTCGAATGTGGAAGATACTGGGAACTCTGTTCCTTTGAAGGCCAAGTGAATGTGAAGTGTCCAGACCCAACTTCCCTATCCCTGGCAGTCTTCCACAAGACCCAGCCCCTTCTGGACCAGGAAATTCTCTTTCTCAGAAGGTACCCATTCCACCTTCCATGCCCCGACCTTTTGGTATTCTCCTGAATCAAATGGCTTACAATATTCGTCTTGTGCCTCAAAAGCCTGAGAAACAATTCCCTTTTTCTGAGTGGCAGTGAACATATATGTCCTTTAAAACTACAAGCCATAGGGTTAGCCAGGGAATCATCCTTGAAAGCTGCCAGGGCACCAGTGCTCAGGAGCCCAGGGCACTGCCAGTGGGGCTGGTCAGGGAGGGGCTAGAGGCAGTCAAGGGCAGGGGAAGGGACATGGAATGGGAGACCATGAGTGAACAAGTCAAAGGGGGGAGAGGATGTCGCCCATGAGGAGGCAGCATATTGCCCCCTAGAAAGCAAATGCTAGTTGCATGGAAGAACAGAAGTATTAAGCCTGTATGTAATTTAATCTCAAGAGGTTACTAGAGTTTGCTCCAAATATATCCTGATGCTGCTGAAATTCATCAGAAAGGGAAGAGTTCCCAGCCGCTATTCTGTCAGCCCCAAGCAGACCACTCTAATCCCTTGATCTTCTGCTTCAGGTTGTTGGAAAATCATTCAAAAAGTGACCAAAAAGGAGGGAGAAAAAATATGTCATGCAAAAAGAGTGTTATTTTTTTGGTTTGGCTTCAGAGTAGGTTGGGTTGCCGTGGTTACGAGGTGATGGCAGCCCTGGGTGGCAGAGAAGTTCCTAGCTTGGGAGGGGGAACGTGGGGTGTGTGTGTTCCCTTGCACGAGAGGACTGAGCTGAATTCTGCTGATGCTTGGCCAAGGCTGCTTGGAGATGGCGAGAGATTGCATCTTATGTAAACAGTGCCGTAAACCATCTCCCTCCTGCATGCAAACAGACAGACCCAGCTGCCTGTAGCACTGTGGGTCTCAAGTATTTAGAGGTGGGGTAGAGAGTGTCTACTGTAAACAGAAGCAACGGGCCCAGCCTGGGCCTCAGAGCCAATGCCCAGCCCTGTTAGACTTAGCTACACTGCATGCTCTTGAGGACTACTGAAATCTTTCTTACTTCCTTTTTTGGAAGGTTGGGGGTTTGGATGACTGCTGAAACAAAATGAATGCTCCCTATTTAGGGCACTAAATGAGAGGAACAGCTTTGCAAGCCTTTCCCTCGGTTATCAAAATCAAATGGCCTCCACTGCTGATTTACTTCTGTTCCTTGCAGTATCACCACATGCCAGCTGACATGATCATGGGGATGGGTGACACCAGAGTTCACAGAAACATTCGTGCTGGCAGGTGGTAACGGAGTCAATCACCCCGCATTTCTCAGCGGCAAAGAGTAATGGCCTACAACACTGGCATCAGCAGTTGTCATGGATACCATGGAAAGCTCAGCAGGTCTGCTGGGGCCCACGGTTAGAGGAACTCCACGTAGTTCTCAGGTATGAGGCCAGTCTTCCCGTTGAGAGTCCCCTCCAACCAGCCAGGCTCCTGAGATGGATGAACTGTATAGCAAGAGGGGAGAGAGTGTGAGAAGAGAAGGTGTTACAGATAGGGCAGGTGGTGGATGTGTGTGCACTCTCATGTGAGAACAAATGAGTGCAATCGCTTGTTATATTACATATTTCTAGGACTTGCTTAAACCAGGGGCTCTTAATTTTTTGTGGGACATAAGCTTTTCAATAAAGGTTACTCTGAATGTTCTTTATAACACAAAAGGAAACAAAGACGTTCAAAGTTTTACATAGAATTCTAGGAGTTTCCCAGACTTTCTGAAGTTGCTGGTTTAAACCAGAAAGAGGTAACAGATTTCTACTTTTTAGGTTAGAAGTCAGTTATGGTGCTCCATCCATAAATTTATCTAACCATCCATCCATCTATCCATCCATCCATGGCACCCATCTACCTACCCAGGACTGCCTTTGTACCCAGTGGAGTGCCAGTGAAAAAATGCTAAGAACTAGTCTTTAAAGATATCTAGCATGCATTTTACTAATCTAATTATGCATTTTGCTTCCCTTTAAATCCTTACCCTCTGCTTCCAATCTCCCTGCAAACTCCCTCTGTGGTTTTTTGTTTTTGTTTTGTTTTGTTTTTACATTCTATAGCCTTTGAACAGCCCCCTCTGTTCCACCCATACCCTTAGTTTTCTTTGCTGTTCTCTAGAATTTTCCTCCCTCCTACATACAAGACTGAAAGATGTCTTCTTCCCTCTCTCTTGCAACTTTCAAAATCTCCATTTCCTTGGTTTTTCAATATCCAAAAAATATACACTCATTTCTGTGCTATCACAATACATCTTCATGGAAATTACAGTGATACTGTAAAGATTATATAAAATCCAGCTGAGTCTGCAAAGTTCAATAGCAGGAAGAAAGAGAGAAGGAATCATGGGACCTGGAAATGGAGGGGGTGGTATTCATGCTTGTGAACTGGGAATATACATATCACTCTTAATGGGAAAGGCAACATATTTGCTCTTAACGTATTAGGAAAACTCCAATTTTCTGAGACTGTTTAGAAAGAATCAATTTCCCCTTATTCCCTTCCTAGTCTAATTAAGTGACTTCCTGAGCTTGTTTTAGAAAAGCATTTCCGCCCCCATTGCTACTATGTAACTCTGGTTTCAGTTTGTGGGGAAAGAAGCAAGAACAGAAACAAAAGGAAGCAATGGGGGAGTAGCAAAAGGACACACATAGAGGCTTAAAGAAGATCAATGTCAATGTAATCTTGAAAGCTTCAGGAAAAGACAAGATCAAATATCTATTAGGTGGCCTCCAAAATGCTTGCATAATTTTGTATCACTAGGCTTCATGAATAAACCAAAAATAGTAAGGGGACTTCGGATTCATGACGCCCACACAAGGAGGAGTCTGGAAGAGAAGTGTCACGGAAGAACACAACACAATTTAAAAGCACCCCGGCCTCTCCAGTGATGAAACTCTCTCAACCCACCCCTCAGATACTTGCACTCAAACACCACCGCCTTCTGACCATCCATCCAGCTGACGATGTTAAGATCACTTGAATTTTTTCTGCACCTACAAAGTGATTATAATAAAACTCTCACTCTGTCAGTAGGTTCTTGTGACGTTCCAGGGGCCAATATGGAGAAGGCACTCAGCAGAGAGCCAGGACACAGTTGGGCTAGCCAACAGGGGACCCTGCATCATTTGACCAGTCACTTGGACTGGTCAACAAGGCTCTCTCCCGGTAAGGGCCTGGTCTCAATACCCACCCAAGCTTTGGGGAACCTCAAATGTTCAGAACCAAACCAAAACAAACAAACTCACTCCCCAAAATAAAAGGCCTAGAAAGAATAACCAACAAAACAAAATAAAAACAAAAAAGACCCCTCCCACTTTACAGCAGAGCTCCTAGTTGAATTGTTACCCCACCAGATACACGGAGTCCCTCACTTTCAGACATTCTCCCTTCCTGGGCAGCTGTTCAAACACAGTTCAGGTGCTGAGGTGGTAACGTCTACAGACATTAAAAATGGAATTTGCAGCGTAAGGGAAGAGCACAAGGGGATAAAGGAGGCCCTCCAATGGAAGAACAAGAGCTATGTCACAGGAGATGGCAGGGGACAATGCAGCCCTCAGGTTAGACTGCGGACTCACTGGGGTCTTTAAGCTGGGTTCATTAAGGCATGAGAGCAGACCACGTCATCCCAATCACCTGGATGCTTATTAAAACTGCAGAGTCCTGGACCCTGTGGCATACTGGTTAAAATACAATCTCTGGGAGTGAGGCTGAGGGATCTTTTTGACTCATTCAAAGAAAGGTAAGGGTTATGACTCTTCTGTGCCCAAATGCCTCTGTAGCGAGGGTGGTAATAAGGCAACGCAAATTCTCATTCACTGATGGAGGAGGGAGGCAACATCAGATGTCCTCCCCGCTTCTGTTTCCTGTCCTCCCACTTTATGGCTCAGCTGAAGCCCTACTTCCTTCATAAATACTGGCATGGAATCCGGTCTACCTGTTCCCTCTTTTCTTCAAACTCCTGGAATGCTCATTCTGCACATTGTTCGTGGGTGCTATTAACACTGTCCAAATGTATTAAGCTTTGCTTCCCCCCTGCCCTCTTTAAGGACATTTTAGTCTGTACTGTCTCACCTAATGAGTCCCCTCTGCCTGGTGAATTATGACAGAAGCTAATACTTAGATAGGGACTGGGAAGCAGCCAATGGGCTGAGAGCTTTAGACATATATCAATTTATTTGATCCTGAAGATCCCAGCTTGTATTTTCCTATCTGTACTTTACAGATGAGAAAATTAAGGGCCCAGAAAGGTCAATTAATTCATGCTGATCACAATGGTAGAACTAGAATTTGAACCCAGCTTGTTTGACTCCAAAGACCAAGCCCTTTTCCAAACCATTACACCTATACTCAACCAGAAAATGATACATATGCACACTAAGAATTTACACATACATATGTATGTATATACCAAGTAGTGGGTTTTTTGCTAAGTGCTTTGCCTGCATTATCTCCTTTCATCTTCAGAATGACTCTGGAGTTGATTCTGCTATTAATCTTCATTTTACTGATGAGAAACTGAGGCTCAGAGGGGTTAAGCATCTTGCCCAATACTACATAGCTGACAGGTGATGGAGGTGGATCTGAACCCAGGGCATCTGACCAAAGAGTCTGTGGTCTAACCACTACCGCTTTTGCCTAGCCCAATGCTTTGAATGTCAGTGATGCTCCTAAGTACTTGTTGAGCTGAACTGAGCCAATGTCCAACTTTCTGAATTGCACCAATGTCCAATGTGCTATATAAACACAGAGTGTTTCAGTGAGTTGCCTAGGCAGCTCTCCAGCCCAGCAAGCATCTAATATAAGCAGCTGCTGACATGGATGTGCTTCCTGCCAACCACTTTCTCTCAGCTCCATCCATATATACTCCATACACTCCTGTATACACAGCTCATGCTCTCTCTTTTCCCTCTCTCACTGTGGACAAGGAGCAAGCATGTGACTAGGATCTCTAATGGCTGACTGTTCCAAAGGGAAGAAGTACTGGCTGGAAGAGGCACAGACCCTTGTGTAGCCGAATACATTTACTCATTTAACAAGCATTTATTAAGCACCTACCCTGTGTCAGACACTGTGCTAGGGGGCCATGCACACAGTACAGAGCAAGCAGGAGGATTCTGCTCTCGGATCAGGGCAATATATTAATAAATAAGCACATAATTTTAGGTAGTGATGAGGGAAGAGAGAGAGACTGGGATAGGGATGAGGGTATGGGGAGGAGCTCAAAAAGCTAAAACCTAAAGGATCTAAAGGAGCTAGCCAGGCGGTGGATAATGGCAAGTGCAAAGGCCCTAAGGTGGTGAAAAGCTTGGTGTGATTTCACAATAGTGGTCTGCAAATTTTTCTCAAAGAGCCAGGTCGTAAACGTGTGTCTCTATCAATTGTGCCATTGTAGCTCTACAGATAATATGCAGACAAAGAGGCATGGGTGGCTATGTTCCAATAAAACTTTATTTACAAAAACAGGCAGTGAGCTGGATTTGACAGGTCATACTTTGCTGACCCTAGCTGAGAACATAGGGAAGGCCCGTGAGGCTGCAGTGTATCGAGTGAGGAAGGGGCCAGGGGCAGGAGCTGGTCGGTGGAGGCATTCATCAGTAATTCTAGGAGGAACAGGAGGCCAGGAGTATGTGAAGCAGAATAACATGATGTGATTTCCAAACATTACTCTGGCTGCTGCACAGGGAATACGTTGTGGGGACAAGAGTGGACATGACAACCATGTAGGCAGCTGGTGGAAACACCTGGGTGAGAGATGGAGGTGGCTTGGGTTTGTGTTTGGATCTGGCAGTAGAGACGGCTGGGGAGTCCAAAAGACTCCACTCCGAAGACCTCCCCCCATAACCGCACTGGTGGGAATGGCTCAGTGGCTCCCTGGGAGGATTTTCTTTATTTGCAAAGGAAAGCCGGGGCAGCCTTGTCTTGCACTCATGCCATACCCCATACCCTGGGAATGAATGGATCCAGCCCACCTCAAATCTTGATGGAAGTATCCCAAGAACCCAATTTTAGTGACTACCATGTGAATTTTCCAGGTATCACTAATCACATTGCCATAAAATGACTAATGTTCCTGGGAACACAAGTTATTTCTCTTTCCAGTTACTATCTGAGGTGCTCCTGGTGAAATGGGCTATTTCCTAGTAGACTGGCAAGGGCTGACAGTGGAGTTACTTCCAAGTATTGCACATCCATTCTCCCCTGCACAAACTCCAAAAGCTGACTGAGCAGCCACTCCAGATCCACAGCACAGGCCCCTGGAATCCAAAGGCTTGGAGAGATTAATCATTATGAAATAACAGAGTTTCCCCTCAAGGTTCCCCTCCTCCTTCTTCTTCCTTATTCATTCTTCCTGATCCTGAAAAAGACAACACACACAAACTCTCTAAGCCTGTCATTAAGAAATTTCTTCCTTTTGGTCTGATGATTTAATCTGACAGCTACAGAGAGCATCCAACTTAAACAGCTCTTACCTGATGTCTCCAGAAAGAAACTAGCAAGAGACAGAACAAGGAAAATGATCTCCCTGCCTAATGTGCTAACAGCTTTTTCTCCCCTAATGCCTGATTTCTCCAATGGAGGTGATGGGAGGGGGGAAATGGGGTATATGTAGCATTTTCTAAGAATCACCACAAAAAGTGTATTCATGGGGCACCTGGGTGTCTCAGTTGGTTCAGCATCTTTGACTTTTGGTTTCGGCTCAGGTCGTAATCTCAGGATCAAGCCTGGAGGTGGCTCCTCACTCAGTGGGGAGTCGGTTGGGGAATCTCTCTCTCTGCCTATGCCCCCCTCCCCCGCTCGTGCGCGCTCTCTCTCTCTCTAAAATAAATAAATGAATCTTTAAAAAGTGGATTCACATTTTGTCAGACCCTTCTTTGACTGCAGTTTAGTCAACACCGAGAGGTGCTTTCTTTGGGGTTTCATTTTGCCTTTTGCTCTCCAGGGAATCTGAAAGGGCATTCCTGGTTAAAAACAAACTGGTGTCAATGAACTCTGCCATGACTCCCAGAAACCACAGGAAGGCGTGGATAAGGCCTCTGATTCATTTAACCAAACCTCTTTCCTGCTCTCCTTTATCATTATAGGATTTATGATGATGACCAAGTTGTGTGGTGCATGCAGTCCCAGGACCTGCTAGGCAGAGCACCCCGCAGGGAAGGAAAGGACTTGGCCATTAAAAAATCACCTAGGTTTCTTTTCCTTTCTCTTTGGTTAGCTACTTCAAAAAGGAGATTTAAAAACGTGGGAAGACAACACGAAGCAACCTCTCTGTAGAACAGTCTGGCAGCTCCTTCAACTGTTTAACTGAGTTACAGTGGGATTCAGTAGTCCCCCCCGCCCTCGCCCAGGTCTATCACCAAGAGACCTGGAAACACAGGTCCTCACAAAAATCTGTACATGCATGTTTATAGCCGCATTGTTCCTCATAGCCAAAAAATATAAATGATCAAAATGCCATCAGCTGACGAGTGGATAAATAAAATGTGGTATACCCACACATGGGAAGATTACCCAGCAATAAAAAGGAAAGAAGTCCTGATGCATGCTCCAACAGGGATGAACCTTGAAAATACTATGCTACGTGGAAGCAGCAAGTCACAAAGACCACATACTCTGTAATTCCATTTATATGAAATACCCAGGGCAGGCAAATTGATAATGACAGAGAGCAGACGCTGAATGGAGCAGGATTGGGGGTAAATGGAGATGGCTGCTAAGGGGTACAGGGTTTCTTTTAGGGGTGATGAAGATATTCTGGAATTAGATAGTAGTGATGGTTGCACAACTCTGAATATACTAAAAACCACGGTATTGTACATTTTAAATGGGTAAATTGTATGGTATGTGGGTATCTCAATAAAGTTGAGGGCTGTACTCAAAAATAGGAGTCACAAGATACACACACATACACATACCTTTTCAGAGTTTAGACCAAGTTTGCCCCTAAGATCAGGGGTCCTTTGTGCAGTCACAGTGAATAGCTGATAGGAACATGACAGTCCCTTGCCCACAGGAGCAGTGAACTGGGGTTCAGAGGACAGACTTTAAATTCTGGATTCACCTGTAAATGTGGGAATGTCTCAAATCCTGCCCATCTCCAGGCAGAAGGCCTGCCCCTGCTGGCGGAGCAGGACACAGAAGGCCTGCATGCAGCCCACGCAGGTTTGTCTGCTGTGAACGCTGCATCATGTTATGGCTGCACTGGGACTCTACCATATGGGTCTATTCAGGCAGGGCCCACTTGTTAGCGACATGGCTCTGGACAGCCTTCCGTGGACCCACGTCACCTCAGCTCTGGCAGGGCCTGAATGCTCCAGCTGCTGATAGGAGAGGCAGCTGGGCTGGCTGGCTGTGCACTTGGATATGTAAAGCACCCAAATGAGAGTTAATGGAGCAAAGGTTTAAGGACAGTGCTTTTGGGGCTTTGAGAACCATACAAGAGGACATGCGCCCAGTAGGCCACATACAGTTATGGGCTCACCCCAGCCCCTGTGGGCTCAGAAGGTCTAAGGGTGACCTAGGAATCCCCCAGGTACTCTGTGAACTATTCCCCATTCTGTCTCCCCATGCCTGATTATTACCTCTGCAATGCTGAATGCAGAGGCTGGGCACACAGGGGGCTGCCCCCTCACATGGAGATGCACTCAAGGCTGTCCCCAGGAGTCCATCTCTGCTCTGGCTTGGAGGCCGCTAAAGACAGCCAGGACTTAGAGGGTCAAGGTGCAGTGCCTACTGCCCAGCCAAGAGCCAGGCCTGCTTTATAGGAGGGACGAATGTAAAAGGATCACCGTGAACTATCAGAACATCAGGCTCTAAGATGGGCATAATGATGGCAATCATCATCATGATAATAATAACACTGAATGCTTAATGTGTTGAGTACTATCTTAAATACATGATGTGCACCATTGCAATTCTCCCTCACAACCCTCTTATCTTTATGTGAAGAGGACAGAACTGAGGCACAGAGAGGTTGTCACTGCTGGACACAGAGAAGCAGGTAGTCGAGCCAGGACTTGTGCTTTGGTGGCCCGAATCTAGAGCTGAGGCACTCTGGTGCTAGGTGGGGGCCTTGGCTGCCCTGTATTTCTGGCTCTCAAGCAGGTGGCAGGAGGTGTAACCTAGGCCAAAGTGGGGCACTCAGCCCTGAAGGGGAGCGCTTGGGCAACATGCACTCAGCCCTGCTCAGGAACTCTGCCACCACCCCAACGGAGGTCAAGAAGGCAGCCCCAGAAAATTTCCACTTCCTGAAATCAGGCAGCAGCTTTGGATTTCTCCTTTGGGCAAAAAAGGGACCCTTTCACCCAAGGATCCGGAAAGATTAACCCCAAAGGAGAACTTCATCTGGCGAAAATCTCAGCTGTAACAGAAATTCTGGCTTTTTCCCAGAATCCTGATTTTTCTCTTAGGTAAATGGTAAGTTACGACAAATTATGCCATCAATACTCACTTTAAAAAATACTACCTTTTCCCTTTTTTAGGGAGGAAAAAAAACCAAAAACCAAAAAACAACAAGAAAAAGGTACATCAAGTAAGACTAGTTCCCAGTTCTACAGTGCAAGTGCCATGAATCCATTTTCACACAGGATACTTGAGCAGGACAGCTGGGAGTGTGCAGGGAGATGGCCCTGAGGGAGTCTACTAACAGTCAGGGGGAGGACAAGCACCACTGCAGGGAGGCTCACTGACCCCGAGCTTGCCCAGTTGCCCTGCTAGCCTGGAAATAAGCCTAACCTGCTATGGAGAATGAATGCCACTGAACCCAAGAGGAAAAAGAGGCACAGAACGTGTGCTTCAGTCTCCACCCTGAGCTGACCACTTGCAGGATCCCTGTTCTCTGCTCTGCTGTCTCCTATCCTCTGTCCAGCCCCCAGACTCTCAAAGCCACTGCCAAGTGCTTGGCAGAGCCCCGTCCAGGTACACAATCACTTTTCATGTCCAGTACTGCTCCATGAGGCTGAGTCTGTCCAAGTGAAGACTTCAGTACACTGTCCACTCTTGACAGAGCCTCCAGAAGTCTTGCTGCTACTCTCTTATTTGGGGCAAAGACCCCCCCCGCCCCCCCTCACTTCTTTTCAGTCTTATCCATTCAAGTGAGACTGTATTTTTTTCTCCCCGCAGGAACTTTGAAAACTGCAGTTCTTTATTTGCTCTCTGCAAGGGAATGAGAAACTCACCATTGTCGAAGACCGTGCCTGCTGTGAACGAGAGTTCTGAGTCATGTTCAGCTTTGCAGGCATATAAGGCTTTTGCCTTCCGGAACGGTGTGCTGTGTGAAAATAGGAGTTTATTTAGCAGTATTTTTAAACCTTCTGAAAGCCCCAGACATTTAACCTCTCTTCTTCCCCTTCCCTGCAAGCCACCTAGTTGTCTCTTGCGGCAACAGCCTGACAAGGCAGCCAGATGGCAAAACGTGAGGTGGAAAAGTTGCAAAGGTCACCAGAGAAAAATGAGAATTATTCAGAGAAAAGCCACACTTCTTGTGGGGTCACCTTGTGCCATGTGAAACTCTGCCTAGGAGTTACGACACCTGAACAGTGGGAGAGCAGGCTGGGACCCATTTTTGGTTTTGGAGCAGGAGTAGTTTGGGAAAAGGGAGGTGGGGGCAGGAAAGAGCTTCCTAGTTGCTCTGGGGAGCACTCCCAACAGACCTTGTTGAAAACTGGCAATGCTCAGTGAGTCAAAAAGGAGAAATTCTAACAAAGCCATGTTTCGGCTCTAGGCCACGGACTGACATTCGCTCTTCCAGATGTTACTTATTTCTCATTGGGCTGGTGGAGCAGGATTCCAGGGCTGGAACTCCCCGACCCCCAGGGTAGGGCAGGGAACAGACAAGTTGTGTGTGAGAGCACTTATGTGAATGTGTGTGGGGAGCGTGGGGAGGAAGAAGGGAGAGGGAACGTGATGTATATATGTGCAACAAAATCATTTTTGAAAAGCTCTCAAACTGACTCTAGTGTGCAACCAGGGCTAAGAACCACCGTTCTAGAGCAGGGGTTGGCAAACTCTTGCTATAAATGGCCTAGCAGTGGATATTCTAGGCTTTGTAGGCTATATGGTCTCTGTTGCAATTACTCAGCTCTGCCTTGTGGCATAAAAGCAGCCACAGACAACATGTAAATGATTTTGTATGGCTGTGTTCTATCAAAACTTTACTTAGAAAAAACAGGTGGTAGGCTGGACTTGACCCAAGGGTCACAGATTGCTAAGGCATGTTCTAAAGAGTAAATAGTAAGAACTGGTAAATCCTATTGCTTTCTATCAACTTTTGCTTTGATATCCAAATAGTTCCAAATGATCTATGGACTTCTCAAGGGTCATAAGACAAATAACATTTAACAGTCAAAAGTTGGCTCTTCATTTACTAAGAGTAATCTCTTCTACTTCTGAGCCCTCTGAAGAAGCACATTTAGGGGCTCCAGGGCAGAATAACAAAAGAGCCAGAAGGCCCTCTGGGTTAAACAATTATTCGAGGGATATATTATTTACTTTAGCTTCATTTGACAAACAGAAAGCCTCCAGGCGCCAGTGATATTAAACGCCCTGTGGCACACTGATTTCTAGTGGCCAAATGAGATTTAGCTGAGGAAAGGCTGGTCTTAGGTAAGCCCAGACAAAATCAGAAGAGGCAGGGGTCTTGGGTCATTATGGAACTGTTATTTCTCAGAGTCACCAAATCCGGCTTCTTGTTGGGAAAGAGGAGCCATGGATGGATGGATGGATGGACACTTAGACCGGGACCAGGCATCTAGAACATCTAGTCTTGGCTCCATGAAAACTGAAGGAAAGATAGTTTAAAAGTTCTGTTGCAAACAACGATCACAATAAATGACTATCCAGAATTTGTTGCTGGGCATAGTTCACCATTCTGTCCTCTGGTCTTCGAGTGGCCAACAGATGATGGCCAGGTGGGAGAAAATTAGGAAAGTGGGAGAAAATGAAGTGGATCCGCTGGGAATGAAGGAAAGAAGAGCCATCAGAATTCATGAACTTTAAGAGGAAAACAGCTCTTCTGGGGTAATTGTCATTAACGTCAGAATAGAGTTCTGCACCAGAGGCATATTCTGTGTTCTAACTAAACCAATTCTGTATGTTGTCAGCAAGGGCCAAACACCCATTGTGCAACTTTCCACGGAGGGCAAAAAAGTTTATTTTTGTTTTTGAGGGAATGGGCGCCAAGAGGAGGAGTTGCCTGGTTGTAAAAAGTGATAAAATGGCCCAAACCCCATAATGGCAGGCAAGGAGAGCCTGGAAGGTGGAAGGAGAATCCATCTGACATTAGCCCTGGTCACTGTGACAGGGCACAGCTGGTGGGTGGAGAGCGTAGACCAGGGATGAGAAAAATCAAAGGTGAGAGTAAGATCATCTGAGGCAAGGCTCCTCCAGCTGGATTTTCATAGCAGTGACTTATTAACTTCATTAAATTAAAGGGAATGGGACAAAATGGGCAAACCAGGGAAGCCAAGTGGGGTATCTGGCAGGAATCAAGCAGAGGGAATGGTCTCAGGTGCCGAAGTTTATCATTCAAGAGGAGTAAATTTTCCACTAATGTTGGGCTTTTGGAATTGAATCAAGTGACAATAAAATAACCTATTAAAAATAAAAACAGAGATCAGGAAAGGGCCTTGCTTTTTTCTTGGATTAACAGGTGACTGACCATCTACAAGAGGGTCTTTTCCCGAGACCTCCTCCTACTCCTGTCCCCCAGGACCAGGGCTGCCAAATAATGTTAAAGACACCAAGTTAAATTAGAATTTCAGATCAACGAGAAATATTTTTATAGTAGAAGTCCCAAATACTACATGGGACATACTTATAGTAAGAAAAATCATTTGCCATTTATCTACTATTCAAATGTAACTGAATATTCTGTATTTTTATTTTATTTGCTAAACATTTGCTAAATCTGGTATCTCTATGGGGGGGAAAGTTTTATCTTTTTAAGTTTGTCAGCCCAACAGGTCCAGTGTCCTATATTATATTAGCTCTCAAAAGCCCCAGCAGTTTGCTTTAGGTAGGGTTCCTACCAAAATAGATCCTGTTGGCACAGAGGTTGTGTTTGTAGGCTTTGGCTCTGACTAAAAAAAATAAAACATCCCCACTAAGCATCCTTGGCTCTCTAGCTCCCCATTCTCTGCAGTGCATCTCAACACCGGACACAGAGAGCCTGAGGTGCCTTCAGCTGCTCCTGAAACAGTGCCCTTCAGACCTCGGCTGGCCTTCAAGGGCATGAACAAGTTTGGAACCTTCTGCTGGTTCATTTTTAATTTTCGCCTCTGAGCATGGCACAAGGCCAGGAAAGCACTCAGAGGAGCTTCCCTCAAATGCCCTTGCAAACCTTGCAAAATGACAACCCACTCTCCGTCAGATGACACTACGGGGAGGTGGGGCCAGCTAGACTGGCAGGATGCAACAGCCTGATCATTCAGGCCCAACTGCCAGGGACCACCGTGTAAAGGGAAGTTATGGTTTAGGGGCTGGGAGCTTCTCTAGGGGTGACAGGAAAGGGAAGTGTGAGGGGAATATGCCTCTGCTGCGCTATCAAAGGCATCTTCCTTCCTGAGCTTGAACTAACAAGCACTAAAAATGCTTGGAAGAGGGGAGAGGGAGTCATTTCCAGAGGAGACATTATGTAGAAGTTCACGGGACCATTTATTAGGTCTTACTAAGTATTTACTTTTAAAAGCTCTGCCAGGGGAAGGAAATCTGAAGCTTCACGGTCTGGAAGTGGATTTGGGGGAAAGGCCCGATTGGGCCTGAACAATAGGTATGCCCCCACCTCTTGGCTGCATACCCCAACGGCAATTAGGGGATTTTAATCCTCTCCGTTGGCTAGGTCTGATGGGCTAGCTCCCAGCAGGGTCTCCATCTGTGCTCACCTCAGCACACATACTTACTGTGGGACAGCTGATTCTAAGCCCTAGTCTGTCTTTCCTATTTCAAAATGGCAGATTCCTAAAGTGTTGTGGAATAGCATCATCCAAATGGTGCTATTTTAATGATGGTCAGAGTGGGCAGTTCTGAATACCATGACCCCAAACCTACTAGGGTGGCAGATCCTATTGCCACTGTGCTCTGCCAATCGTGAAATACTTTGGGAGATGGAAAGGAGTAGCTAAAGAAAAAAACCCTGAAAATATGTCAGGTGATGGGAGTACAGAGGTGGAGATACTGGACAGGCAACAGGCAATAGGCCCCCAAACTCAGAGACACAAAAAAGTGAATACCCTCAAAGCAGAGAATATGTTCAGCTTTTTACCTGAATGATTCTACCATCCTGAGTCCCCCAGCCCATTCTGTTCAAGGGACCAGTGTTTTGAAGATTTTACTTCCCTTTGTTCAGACTGAAGGAAACACATTCTGCTAATGACCAAGCCTCTCCTACGAGTAGTGAGGCATATTGGAAGGTGACTGAAGTTTGCTCTGTTCAGGTCTTCATGGGGCAATGAGTGATCGAACCGCTCTGGTTAGATCCATGCCATATCTCGTGTCCTAGAAAGTTAACGTCTCCTAAAGCGCCCAGAATATGTCTAGGAAATAATGAGGAAATAACTTGAGTGTCAGAAAAATATGATCTTGAATTTTAACCCTATTCCCAGGGTGAGGATACAAGAGTATATGGAAAAGCTACCTTTCTTTCCTACCTTCCAGTGCAAAGCTAGATAGAAAAACCAGGAAGAGCAGGCCAGGCTCTGGGGCTGGGGCTGGGAGTGGCATGGAACCTTAGGTTTGGGGGCACCCATATGTTTGGAGGAAAGAGTGCTGATTTAAGGACAAGAAGTCCTGAATTCTGGATGGGCTCTCATCCAGTGGTGTGACTGGGCAGTCAACTCTGTGCCTCAGTTTTCTTTCTCTATAAGACAGTTCAGGCCATTTCTCCTCTCATTCTCAGATGAGGATACAATGCAATGATAGACTGGAAAGTACCTGGAGGAGAATAAACTAATATATACATCTGTATATATAAATAACATGGGTTTTCTTTTTTTAAAAGTGAGACTCAGTGTTATAAATTATTTAAGCCTCTCTGCTGGACCCATCCTTTGGGAAAAAAAATAGCTATGAGAAAAAGATGGATGAGAAAATACTGTAAAGGCTCCAAATGCTTATTATGCTTTATAACTGGGCTCTACATTTTGGTTGTCTGCAAGCAGAGACTAAATTTGAGAGAGACACGGGCTTAGGATCTACATAGTAGAGAGATTCTGCAGGGGATCTTTATTAATTAATTCTTTTCTTGGATTTACATAGCTTCTTTTCTCTAAAGAAGTACAAAGAATTAAGTCTAGACATCCTCAAACCAGAGGAGAGGAACTAGATCAACTCTGAGAAAGAGGTGCTGCTTATTCCCATGAGTGGATTTAAGGGTCCGTGATGCATGGAGATCGGAGCACACAGAGGGCAAGGAGGCAGCCATGACAATATAAAGAGAAACCGCTTCACATCTCCATCCTTTATTCTGTTACATTCATCTCCCTCTCTCATGTCTCTGGTCTTAGCAACTAGGTGTTAGTGCTCACGGCCTATAGTCCAACCCCACAAATAAATGCTGCCTGATGCTACCTGATAAAAATGAGGGAAGAAAAGGCCAGTACTTGTCTCAGCACTGGTTCCCTCTGATATTATCTTATACCAAAGCACAGAGAAAGCTCCATGATTCAGAGAACGATCCAAACAGGGGCCTGTCCAGGAAGCACTCTTTCCCCAAACTCCAGGCATCACGGATTCATTCAGAAATTGGAGGAAGGGTTCAGAAAGATGTGGAGAATGCCATGCTGGTTCATGCACACGGTCCCTCCTGGCTTCGGTCTCTTAGGCTGGAATCACAGGAGGGCAGAGGCTGGCCACCCCCACTGTCCCTGACCGGCTTTGGATAAAGAGGAACAGATTGGTCATCATCCATGATTTTACCTGGAGTCTTCACGAACTGCTTCTTCTGGCCTGTCAAAAAGCAAGTGCAGGTTTGGATGGCGGGGAACAAAGTTGACGAGGAGGCTGAACACTGCATGAAGAGAGGACCAAGCCAATGAGAGAGCAACGGCAGCAACAGAAAACCAAACAAACCCTGCAACAGACCTGATGGGGGATGAGTCGCTGGACGTGGATGAGGTGGGCATAGGGCTGGATGGCGCCGAGAACATGGGCCAAGATGGCGAGAGGGGTGAAGTTGGGCTTGGATTCGGGGGGCTGCAAGACAGAACAACCAGAAAACTCGTCAGCACAGAGGGAAACCACAATGGGAGCACGAGGTTCATGGGAGGCCAAATGATGGGGAGCTGGAGCAGACGAGGAGCACTGAAACCCAGGCTGTGTCGTCAGTGCCAAGTCACATTTCTCCAGACCAGACCTCGGTGTCTTCCAAGTAGCGCCTGTTCTGCAATTCCTTGGAGTATTAAGGAGTCTCTTTGCCCTGCAGAACAGCTGCTTTCTAGGTCACAGGAGTTTCTTCGATGGTGTTCACTGTGTCCTTGCCCACTGGTGGAAGATGCCCTGGGCCCACATACGTGAGCTCCCACTCGTACCCTAGCACCAGCCCGTGTGGGGCAGGGCTAGCCTCTAAAAGGCCCTCGGCTTCCACTGCTGTGTTAGTGTTTTTAAAGTTGGGTCTCAGCAAAAATGACCATTTTTCTGGGCTGTACGGGACATTCGGCCAGAAAACAATTTCCTGTTTACATTTTTAACTAAATGGGCTGTGTGCCATTGGAGACTCAGAGAAGCACTGCATTAGAAATACGATAGCGGATGGAGGACAGGTCTGGACACACACCTCTCAGGGAGGGCACACAATCCCCGGCAGCATTGCGGTCCCTCTGAGGTTTGCTTTCCAGGCCTGCCCTTTCTCTTTTCATGGATTTTGGGCATTGTGATGCTCTAAGAAAAAATCTCACAGGGAAGGCAATGAAAAAATGAGGAACTGAAAATTTCAATCTGTCATTTTGTTCTTTGATGGGTAACTGATCAAAAGTTTGCAGAGGAAAGGTTAAAATTACTCATTAAAATACAGCTTGTGACTTTTAACTGGTCATGCTAGCCCTTTGACTTATTTCTACAAATTACACAAACAAACATCCTAGCAACTCCATAAAATCACATAAATCACAGATAGTGCAAAGACCAATGACTGAGAAAACAATGTGGAAATCGCCCAGCCACAACACCACCTGCAGTCCTGAGCCTCAGCCGACTGCTGGAATGTTTGATCCAAGCACTTTATAGAGGTGAAAATGACAGCAATCCAATTCCAGTGCAATAGACTTTCTAAACATAGTGGGATTTAGCAAGAACACATAAATGTCCTATATAGTGGGTCATTCTCAATTCAGACACGAGATCTCATGATGGTCCTAATTACCTATGGTTGTAACATACATTCTCATGGAAATATACAGTAAAAACCCATCACATGAGTTCACCAGAAATCCACAGACTAAATGAATGAAACTTATTTAATGCCATTATGTGCATTATATTTCTAGAACATAAATTATACAAGGGCAGGGATTTTTGTCCATTTTGTTTACTGATCTATCTCCAATGCCTAAAATAGTGCCTGTAAGTATTCAAGAAATAATTGTTGAGTGAGTAAATTAACAAATCTCATTTAACTTACCCAACAAGCCAAAGACGCACAATACGATTCCTATTTCACAGATGTGGAAACTTGGGGCCCATCTGAGGCTTGCCTGTAAGTGACAGGGCCGAGGTTCAGACCCCGATCCCCTGGCCCTAAGCCCTGGGCTCTGGCCACCACAGTGTCCTGTCTCTAGGGTAGTAGGACTGGCTCTGTTCCTCTATGTTGTGCCAAGCTTCTTTACAGACCCAGCCATAGCACTAGAAGCCTTCTTAACCAGTGATTTATGAATCTCCTTTAGATGCCTGCCACATTTGCAAAGGAAAATGGGAATGTAGCAACAGACAGACTCAGTAAGACTCAACACATTGTAAATTCCCCAATCCTGCCTCCAGTCTTCTCTCTAGTAGATTCACATAGCAGATGGAATTCATATAATACAAGAGATTAAATTCAAAGAGTATGGCTTTTTTCTCTTTTTCTCAAATAATCCAGCAAAGACAAGCTACTGAGCACAGAGTATGATCAAACACAATAAATGGAATAAAATTTGGCATTTGCCAAGGTCCCTAACCTCAAGAGTTCCCAATGTATTTAACAAGATTGGACAGACCAAAAAACAACTATAACATAAGACAGTAAGATTTGGCAGCTGAGGGGTAAGTTACTCTCTTATTAACTGAATACCTGCTCCCACTTGACTCTGTCTTGAGTCCTGGGAGAAAGTGCTGCCTCATTTTAACTGTGCAGTCTTCACTTTCTTCTGTAGCTGCAGCTGGTGAGCAAGACCTTGCTTTCTCAGGCCTCTCCCCACAACCCGCCCCTCTCGATAATGACCTAGTAGGCAAGGCCTACCATGACTTCCAAACTGCAACCCAGCCCAGGAACCCGAGCTCTGACTAGGGACAATCTGCAAGTTCAAGAGAGCAAGCAGCTCAGGCCAAGAGGCCTGAACTCATCTGTTCCTCTGGTCAGTGGTCAGCACAGGACAATTAAAAAGTCCTTAGGACTTTTTGTTTGTTTGTTTTCTTTTTAGTGGCTTTTATAAGTAGGAAACCCCTCCAGCTTCCTATCTCATTTGTATAAGAATTATGCCTTTGATTAAAAAAAATAAAATAAAGGCATAGTTGGGGACATACTCTATGAACACAACGTGGTTCTGAATGTTTTTTCACATCCTTGCATATCTAAGTGGGTCTTGACCATGTACCATGACAGTACATGGCTGAAATTATCTGGGGGTGCAGATGGAATTCCAGGGTATCTGAAACCATTATAAGAACTTTTCAAGCTCCATGTCACTTATTGTAGTATTGACTGTCATTTTTAACGACTAATAGAATTTCATTTGTTTGCTTGTGTTTTACTCATAGCAGTGACATTTATTTGCTATAAAATGACCACAATTTAAAATTTATGACTATTATATTTTAGTGTAACAGTAAAATGCACACTCCACAGTACTTTGATTTTTTTAAACTACTGATAGAATTATGCTTTTTATTCATTTGTGCTCACAATCATGTCATAAAACTCATGATCAACAATACTATAGAAGGTTTTTATTTATTTAATGATGGATATCTATAGCAAAAGAATGACAATAATATACAAATATTCCTCCAAGAAGCAAGGAGTACATTTTATTTTAGTTGTGTTACAACTCAGAGAACATGTAAGTGGGAAATAAGATCACGCAGATGATGCTAATGGCCCAAGACTGTATACTCTTTCATTCCCCTTCACTTCCGAAGTGTCTGGCTATAGCTTACTGAAAAATGACAACAGCAGACAAAAAAATCTCACCCTTAAAAAACCTAAAACAAAACACACAAACAATAAAAGGCCAGTTTTGCTACTGGCCCTGAAGCTTCTATCAAATTCTCACTTTTCCTACTGAGGCCAAAGATAACAAATGACTGAGGTTAAGACAGGAGAAAATAATTTGGTAACTACAGTCTTAGCAGATGACCCCCTAAGGCCTCTCTACCATCCTCAGAGTCCAGTTGTGAGTATCTGAGCTGAATGCCCCAGTACATTTTTCACTCCTGGGATTCTGCCAGTGCCCCACCACCTCCCCTCCCCCCTTTAAGGCCCAAATACAACAACAACAAGAGCTTAAACTTTAGCATGGAATGAACATTTGCTGGTCTAGTTTGGATTCAACTGGAAGGCTTATGTCAGCTTTAGTTTGCTGGTCCACAGTGTCCTCAAAAGGAGTCATACAGTCCCAGTCAGTCCTGTTGACATTCACTGGACAGTGAAGAAAGAATGGTTTAGGAAGATAAGGCTCAAAGGCCTGGAAGCATGTTGGGTTGTGGCCAACAGTTCAAGTACAGTGTGTGGCATTATCATCAGCTTGACACCCTTCTGTGGTGACTCACTCGAATGATGGAACGTCTGGTGTACCAGCCAGGGCATGCCTGCCTTCCTATGGACAGGGCTGCCCCAGCAGGCTCCCAATCTCATCATGGACGTGGCAGTCCCAGGGTAGACTCCACTCTGTGGTTATTAAAACCTGGTACAAGGTGAGCAGTAAGCTGACCATTAAGAAGAAAGCTGACCTTTTAAGATTCTGATACTCAAAATTATAGATGGCTTTGTAGAAAATTGGAAAATACCAAAAATCAAGAAAAAGCAATACAATCATAATTTATAACTACTGATAATCACTGTTAATATCCTGGCTTATCTTCTCATTTTGGGAGGAATAAAACTGCATACATAGTAGCCTGTTCTTTTTTTTTTTCCCCTTAATAAAGCATTTTCGAATGTCATTAAATAGCCTTTGCTATCACATTCTTAAAATGGCTACGGGGTATTTTATCATATGGTATATACCCTGATTTATGCAACCTCTCTCTTATTGTGTATATTCAGATTATTATGCCCCTATAGCTATTATATAGTGGTGCAACTCGTATCTTTGTTGAGGATCACTGAATATATTTGTTTCCTTAGCATAAACTCCTGGAAGTTAAATAAGTGGGTCAAAGGCTAGGAGTCTTTTTTAAGGGTATCGATACAACCTAGCCAATAGCTTTGCAGAATGGTTCTGCTGAACTGCATTCCCACCAACAATGCATGGGGGCTGTCCCTTCCCTTTCTCTGTCACCCCAGCAGCAGGAAGCATCATTAAAAAAAAAAAATTAGAGGTTTTTTTTTTTTTTTAGTTGAAAAAGGTTACCTTGGGCTCTCCTCTTTCCTAGCATTTCCAGTGATGTAAAAATGAATACAATTCCCTTCTCTTGTTCTGTTTCCATCTGGAAGCAATGTTTAATTTTCCAAAGGGCATTCTGCCAAGAAGGTAGTGTAGGGAAGGACACAAGCAGGTAGACAGAGAAGACAGACAGTGTCAACCTGGAGAGTTAGAGCCCTGGTCAAACGGTGTGGCTGATCCAAGAGAAAGGGGGAGTGGCGGACGGCCAGCCTATTGCAGGACTCTTAAAGAAAGGACTAACTAGGAGGGATGAGGTACACAAGAGTGTCCAGACAGTCTTCTGCCAGGTGTGTACTATGGAGAACTGAAAAAATTGGCATTTGTTCCTCTTTGCCAGGCACTGGCCTGTGATCTATGGCCCAGGTTCCCAGTCATGTATGTCGGGCCTGGACAAGG